CTCCACTTATTGCCAATTGGTTTTAAGTTGGATGCAAACCTTGTGTTGAGCCCACATGCAGGATTTTCAATAGGGGTCCCTTTATCTTATAGACTTTTTCCTAGGAATGTCGCTAGCTAAATTTCCAATGAATACCACAAAAAAGATGGGAGTTGTAATGCATGCTCTCAAATAGTTGATAAATAGAGGGGGAAATATTAAGGTTGCTAATATTTGAAAAATGAAGCCATAGTGAATGGCATCAAAACCTTTCATCAAATCGATTTTGAGGGCACATTTAGGATTGAGATGCTGATTGTGGTAATGTTTCATGATCTCATGGGCGAGAATTACATTCTCCACCATTAGCCTTCCTTCTACATAGGTAAATTGATTTCTATTGATGAAATGTCTCAAGAATTTCATTTTGCAAGAATTTTAGTAATAAATTTGTAGATCATATTGCAACAAGATCTAGGCCTATTCTTTGTCATCTTAGTTGAATTTGAAACTTTAGGGACCAAAGCTACAAGTGTAGAGTTCATTTCCTTTAGAGTCTTCCCACTCTAAAAGAATTCCTAGACAGCCTTTACCTCCATCTCACCTATAACAAGCCAAGTAGCTTTGCAAAACTCCAAAGTATAACCATTAGGCCCAATTGCCTTGTTGTTAGGGCTATTATAGACAAAAGCTTTATCTCTGCTTTAGTTACAGCATTTATAGGCTGGATTAATGACTCACATATTGAATTTGACAATTGAAAATTTAGATTTCGTAGCCATATGTCATCTATAGCTTTACAATTACTATCCTTTGTAACCAGGAGATTTTGATAGAACTTCTCAACTTTATTTCCCATATTAGATAAGCTAGTTAGCTCTATACCATCAAGTGTCTGTAAGACTCTTATTGTGTTTCTGCTTTTCCTTAATTTTACTATTTTATGAAAGTAGGTTGCTATTCCCCTGTTGTAACCACTTAATCCTTGACTTTTTTTCTAAAAAATTACTCCTTAGCCAATTACAAGCCAGCTTTGCTATTCATTATTTATAGTGCAAAAATATTTGGGATTTATGCAGCCTAGATGTAGAGCATTATATCTGTTGGGATTTATGCCTTGAATTTATATTGAAGAAATTGAAGTTCAAAATGAAGTTGATAGAATTTGGTAGAAGTTTTAGAACTTATGGAAAAGTTTCAGAGCATTCATGCTATCTGAGTTAATATCATTGCAGTTTTGAGGAATAGTTTTAGAACTTGTCTAAAAGGTTCTAGAATATATGTGGTTGGAGTGGTAATCCGCATTTGACAAGGATTTTGGCTAGGGAATAAAATTGGAAACTCCAAATTGAAGAAGTGGGAAATGGACTTCTACACCAAACATAACTCCAATACTTGTAACCTTATATAAATATGTGTCATTAGCAACCCTAAAAAGATGTGAGAGAGTTAAACACCAAATGGTATGGTGTGGTTATAACCCATCCCCTATGGGGGTGATGAGAGAGAGTGCCTCCACTCTCTTTGTGCATTTAGATGGTGAGATTCATCTATCCAATCAGAGTGTTGGAAAGGTTTATGAGTTATTTGTGGATTATGATGAGTCTCTTAGAGAGGTTAGTGAGAGTTTCTAGACATAAGTGAGAAAATACAAGATTAATAGAGGGACTTCTTAATGGTGGATTAAGATTGGACTTCCTTGAGAAAGATTATTAGAGTATTGAAAGATTAGGAGTTCTTAGAGAAAATTGAGATTGGACTTCCAATATTGTAATTCTTTCTTAATAGTGAATTTTTCTCTTATTTTTTTGTGATTTTTCCCTCACTTGTGAGGATCTTTTACATTAAATTTGATGTTTTCTTTTTTATTATTTTATTTTATTATATAAATTTTATGTTGATAATTTTTAGCAGTTGGTCATCCAATATTGTAATTCTTTCTTAATAGTGAATTTTTCTCTTATTTTTTTGTGATTTTTCCCTCACTTGTGAGGATCTTTTACATTAAATTTGATCTTTTCTTTTTTATTATTTTATTTTATTATATAAATTTTATGTTGATAATTTTTAGCAGTTGGTCATGGTGTGAGTCAAATTTCAATGAGTGCTATTAGCGCTTGGAGGGGAACAACATCTAGGGTATTTCATTTTAGGAAATATATTGGTGGTTCAATAATCAATTTGGATGACAATGCATTTTGTGCAGTACTATTATCATGAGACATCAGGTGGGTTTTTCCAATCCATTGTGAAGATAACTAGATTCATATTGAGGGAGGAATACCCCACCAAAGGGCAGAGTTTCACGAAGGAAGAAGATGTTCCCATGAATCACGTAAGTAGCAATGAATTCATTCACGTAAGTAGCAATGAATTCATTCTTTTGTGATAATTAATGATCAATTTATTGACCACATCGAGACATGTGAGAGCTTGGAAGATCTACAAAAAGCTAAGCAATGACCTCAAGTTTAATAAATTTTAAAAAAAAAATCTTGTCAATAAATAAGGAAAAGTAAGCCAAATTAAGCATAAAATCCAACCTTATGACAAAAAAGGCAAAAAATCCAACTTATTGTCAACTTTCTATAGTAGTATGGATTGATAATTAGATATTTCAATATCTAATTAAGGCTATGAGCATTGAATGGTTTTTTGTTCAACCCCCAGAAGTTGTTTCTTTATATCCTCTACCTCCCAACTTCATTTGTCATAGAGGGCTCCAACTTAAAAATATATATAGATATATATATTCGCTCCATTCCTCTTTTTAAGACACCGTGAAAATTTTTATAAACTTTCCATCCCATCTCTAACCCTTTAGCAGAGAGAAGAAATGGCGGATGCCAACATCAATCTTCCCAATGTAATAAATGGAAATGTGATCATTGGAGCAAGACTACTTAACAAGAGAAATCCTCAAGGGCAGCGCCTTATAGCAAGTACTACCTATGAAGATGGTCGGATTTATGGATTGCCGGAAGGGTGGCTTGTGGAGAAAAGACCTAGGACTCTTAAGAACAACAAAACGGTGGAAAATAATGTAATTTGCCCCATTTCTCTACTCTCCTTATTTTTTTTATCAGATTCTTATTAAGGGCAGTTTCAAATAGCGGTTTGGGGGTAATAGATAGTGATTTTGTTCAAATTACTATAGGATAGCTATTTGATAAATTTATTTATTTTTAAACTATTACCAATTAGGTGTTCAATAAATTTTTTTATACAGCAATTTGAAACTGTAGATGGAAATTAGGATCCAAATTGCTAGCAAACTTTTTTTTTTTATCGATAACAAAAGCTATTGAATTGAAAAAGTTACTCTAGATAAATTTTTGTACCAAATCACTAGTAGATTAAAACTTTTTAATTTGAAAAATGATTGATACATTGTGATTTTACACACCGGTTCGATCTAGTCATTAAAATATAATATAAAGACACTATGTTTGTATCTTTAAGTTTGTTTATCTTTAATTTTAGATCAAAAAATAGTGATTTTTTCAATAAATGTATTATATAGTATGTTAAAACATAAGATATACCAATAAGTGTCCTTTTAATTTTATTAACAAATTTATCAATTTTAAATTTTCAATTTATGCAAGTCTTTAATTACTAATTATTTAATTGGTTTCAATTTCCTTTTTTTATCTTCAATAACATTAAATTATTATTATATTTTTATTATTACAGTAACTTATTATCAAAAAATTTTGTATTAGTTTAATAAACAAAATTTGCTAATTGGACAAAATAATTAAAAGTTTTGCTTTTTATTTATTTAAAAATAATATAATTTTTCTCTTGTTAAAAATAAAAATGAGTGTGTGATTCACATTTTCATATTTTATTTTATTTATTTATTGTCTTACTATTATTTTTATAAAATTAAAAATTTTAATAATAAAAAATATAAAAATATATTTAATTAATTTTAAACATATTCTTATTTATTATTTAACGTTACAAAATAATAGTTAATTATTATATAACTAAATAGTTATATCAATTAAATATGCTATCTAATATTTACTACCCATTTTTTACTATTTATCATCTACTATTTATTAATTACCGACCCTTTAGCACTGCTGCTATTTATTATCTATTAAATTTTAGTTATTATATCGAACAAGCACTAAATTATAAATAGTACTAAAAAGGGTTGGGAAAGAAGAGATCAATTGAGTAATTAATTGGAAAATTAGGGAAATTAGTGTATAAAATTCAAGTGATAATCAAAAGAGACAATTTATAGTTCCCAAAATGATTAGTAGGTTCAAATTAAGGGCTGAATTCCCGCATCATCTAAGAAAGAAAATTGAAGGTTAATTTGCTCAAGGATTTACTCTTGACTTGCTAAATCCGACCAATGGCTGCATGATAATGTCTATCTTTATTTGCAGTTTTACTATGAACCCAAGACATTTAAGCAATTTCGCTCAATGAAAGCTGTAGAAAGGCACTTGCAACTCATTGCAACAAAACAAAGTAATAAGATGCAACTTGTGCCATCACGCTTCTCCAAGGTAACTCTCGAACTTAACTTTCTTTATGCTTCCTTCTGCTGTTACTTACCAACTCATATGGATGCCTTTTATGTATCACAGGGCCCCAACTCCCGACGTAATAAGAGGAGAAAGAATGGCTCAAGTTTCAACCATGCAAACATGGCTGAAAATAATTTGCAGGCTCTAGCTGATGCTATAACAGATTGATAGAGTCCCTATATATTGGTGAAGCAGTACTGTTCCCCATTACTGTGAAAAGGATGAAAAGTATGTGTGCATGATGGATGTAACATTTATGATCATTTGAATGGCTCTTATTTTGTTTTTATTGTGATGCATTTCAATGAGTAAATTATCATCAATTACAGTTGGTTCATATTTTCTCTCTAAGTAATTAACTTCTAGTTTGTTCAAAATGGCTGCTACATGGTGAGCGGGTGAAACAAATTTGCATAAGATGAGCATGAAATGGAAACGACGAAACGCACTTAAAACCTTGAATACATTTTAGGATTGTAATCTTGGAAAAGGAGAAATTTGTTCTCCTTTTCTTTTCTTTTTTATTTTTTTATTTTTTATTTTTTATTTTATTTTTTTAGAAAGAGTGGCAATAGCCTTATATTGGTTACGAGGTAAAGTGATTACAATACATCTCTACCACCATAAAAAGCAACCCATAAGTCTAAATCTATTTTAACCGAGACAGAAGTACGATTAAACCAAAAAATTCTAATGTATCTTTACTTCTTTTGGATAAGAACAAAATTAATGTTAGCATTTATTATATTATTAAAATAAAAAAATAGTACAACAAAATCAAACCACTCTTGTTTAGAAAGTGAAATTTCTGAATTAGACTAGACTCTCATATTTTCATATCACGTTATGAGATTCAAAACATTACAAGCTCTCCAATTATCACTGATAATGATACTCAAGTTGAAATTTGTTATTGACTTAATGACTTATTGAATTATATATGGTCCACAAGCTCTTAGCTTCTCAAGTTATTCATAATTATTAGTTTTTACACTTATATATTAATCACATTCATCCTTTCATCTCGTCGTGAGATTCGAGATATTACATGGGATTCGAGATATTACATGGCAGTTAATAAATAATAAGAAATGAATAGTAAATAGTAAATTTTAAGTGATATAATCATTTGATTATATAATGGTTAGGGTTGTTCACAATTCAATAATAATAAAGTAATATTTAAAAGTAATTAAGTATATTTTTTTTATTACTAAAATTATTAATTTTATGCATAAACGTATTTCATATGTACTGTATTTTTTTCTCTGTTATTTTTTTATTACACTCATACTAATAAAGGCATGTTCAAGAGCAATTTGGTATCCTTAACAAATTCAACATGTTAACTGTAATAACAGTGCTCGGTACACCCTCCGGTTCAATACATTGCGCAACACACTTATTAAAAAATCATTATTTTTTTTGTTTGAATTTAAAAATAGATAAGTTTAATGATACAATCATGCACATAAGATAAAAGAACCAGTTAAATTGATTGTATTTATATTATATTTTTAATTACTGAACCGAAGAGTGTCAGAAAATATGTTGAACTGAAAGATGTATCAATCATTTTGCTAATCGCAAAGAGCAGAGATGCTAGGAAAGTCAAAACGTTTGGATCCAAACTGGCATCTAAGTAGTTTGGAACAACAAAGAATGTTGTTGAAAGTTAAAGCAATAAAACTACTAATTTTCATCCAAAAATGAAATACTTCTAAGTTCTAACAACTGGCCTTAAATTAGGATAAAATGATGACAATATGACTGAAATTGGTTTAGTTATATTATTACCAAAAATCTATAAAAGGGCTCCATGATGTCCTTTTTCTTTTTCATACAAAAAACATTACCCAAATTGTCGAGTTCCATAATCATGGATTTGAAGTTGACACTCTCTTGCATCCTTCTATCGTGCTTATTTCCTTTGTTAATAGCAGATGATGTTAAAGTTACGATCAAAGGTGCAACCCTCATTGCCGGAACTGATGATAATTTTGTCTGTGCAACTTTGAATTGGTGGCCCTCTGAAAAATGTGACTACAATCAGTGTCCTTGGGGAGAAGCTGGCCTTTTCAACTTGGTATTTTAATATGATTGTTCTCTTAATTTTTACTTCTCAATTCTCCTTACACACTTGCATATACACATACATATATATATATGTACATGATAAATGTATATTCCACGTTTGATTAGCTCTTCTTTGAAGAATTATAACTTTTTTGAGTGTTTTTTTTTATATATATTTTAGGATTTAAACAATAAAATTCTATTAAATGCTATAAAAGGTGAGTTTTGAAGGTTTTCATTTACAAATTGAGCCGATTTAGATCTCTTGTTTATTTTTTGTATTAGTGTGAAACTTTTTTTCCAACAAAAACTTGGTTGATTTAGTACCCATTAACTAAAAAACCTTAATTTAGTTCAAAGCTCTACCATACTAAACTAGCCAACCCTTCAATGTGTTAATGAGAAACTTGATGAGCTCTAATGGGTAAATTTTCAGCATTCAATCCCTTGAGACTAAGAGTTGGAGGCTCATTACAAGATCAAATAGTATACAAATTAGGAAATTCAATCAAAGGGTGTCCTGCTTTCAAGAAAAGAAACAATGGTTTATTTGGGTTCACCAGAGGTGCCTCCAGATGAAGAGACGGGATCAGCTCAATAACTTGTTTAACCAAACAGGGTGTGTTTCATACTTCTCCTGAATTTAATTTCACATTTCCTTCTTTAACCAAAAAAATGTATGTCATTATCATATTTGCAGTGCTTTGGTAACATTTGGGTTGAATGCCCTTTATGGAAGGAAAGAGTCTCAAGTTGAGAAGGGTCTATGGGTGGGTAATTGGAACTCGCAAAATGCCCGTGATCTCATTGCTTACACTGTGTCAAAAGGATACAAGACTGATTCATATGAATTTGGTAATTATGATTATTTAATAGAGAAAAATGAAAATTAAGATGTCGTGGTAGTTTAAATGCTTGGATATCTTGTAAAATTACTCAAATACTCTAAATAAATTTTTTTGGTATGTTGATTCATTAAAAATATTTTAATTTTTTTATTATTGTTCCTAACATTTTAAATGGTAGAATGTCCTAATTTTTCTCGATTCCTATTCAATAACTAAACTGTTGATGATGTGCATAATGATAATATGATAAAATATGTTTTTCTAGGACATGAGCTTTTTGGATCAGGAAAAGCTGCAAGGGTAGAGGCTGATCAAAATGGTAAAGATGTGATAGCCCTCAATAAACTTGTTCAAGAACTATACCCAGATCCCAGCACCCGTCCAAAGTCCTAGGTCCCAGTGGCTTTTTTGACCAAAAGTGGTTTGCCACGTTCCTTCAAGTCACTGGCCCTGGTGTTGTTGATGGACTAACCCACCATATCTACAATCTTGGAGCCGGTACACATTCACTCCTCAATAGTATGTTAATTCAATGTAAAGTTAAGACCTTCGGATTAACAATTTCTTTATCTTGTGAGCAGGAGTTGATTCAACTGTCATTGACAGAGTTCAGGATCCATTTTACCTGAATCAAGTAGCTCAGACATAAAAAGATGTGTCTATGACCGTGAAGGAGTTTGGACCATGGGCAGGAGCATGGGTTGGGGAAGCCTTTAGAGCTTATAACAGCGGCAGCAAAGATGTATCACATACCTTTGCTGATGGATTTTGGTACCCACCAAATGCCCTTCTGTTATCACCCATGATGTATTTTGATTAAGGAGATGAATATATTTAACTAGTCTTTGTTGTAGGTACCTAGACCAATTGGGTATGACATCAACCTTCAACCACAAGGTATTCTGCAGACAAACATTCATAGGAGGAAATTATGCACTACTTAATACCACAACATTCACCCCAAATCCAGATTATTATGGGCTGGTATCATCAAATGTTTCTCCACTTTAATTTTTGAAAACGTTTTGGTTGAATTATATTCCGAATGTTTCTTCTTCTTTTTCTTTTTTCTTTTTTTTTTTGTCTGTAATCCTTAAAATTTTTTGCATCTCTAACTTATTGCTCTCTTCCAGTGCTCTGTTGTGGCATCGCCTGATGGGAAAAGGAGTTCTGTCTGCAACCCACCAAGGCCCACCAAGGCTCACCATTTTTGCGCGTGTATGCTCACCGTGCAAAGCACAAGGTTGATTAATTTCACTTTTCTAATTCTCAAATGAGTCCCTTCTTTTGCAATTCAAATTATATTAAATTACAAAATTGCTGGTTGAAGGGAGAGGTCCCAATGTCAAGGACCCACCCCTCATCCAATGATCACTGTCTAAACTCCAAAATAATTTAGTTCTCAAATTCTCAAAATAACCATATCACAACCTGGACATAGCAAACTTCTTTAAATTTTGTTTTCATGACCTTTTCAATTTTTCATTTTTATAGCCGGGGATTACCCTGATTCTAATTAACATGGCAAGATCCACATCATTCAACGTAACACTTTTCAATTTCAACGATGAAAACCTGTATTTATCTGACAATGTTGAATGAAACAAGTATTTATCTAACAAAGAAAAATATTCAACATTCAGACAGCTAGGCCTGCTGTTCCTTGTTTACGTCTTCTCTCCTCAGACCATATCAACCCAGATTAGCATTTTTTTTTCCCACAAAATAAAAGAAAATTGAAAATCAAAGGAAGATTAGAATTGTATTAGGGTTTAATTACCCACCCATTCTGGGGGAAAAAAATCAGGGTTTAACTCAGGAATATTATACATCAATAGATACTGCCGACAGAAAATTGTAATGAATCCAGAAAGTAGGTATACCAATGGTATATCTCTGCCAAAAGATATCATACAGAATGAATGAAGAATTTGAGATTCCTGATTTCTCTGTTAACTGCCAAAATTAACTTCAAGGCCTCAGAAGAAAATCTTTTTGCAATATTTGAATTCAGTCCTTTCATCTCAACATCATTGATGAGGCACCTAAAGGTATAATAATGCTTCCTTTCACCAATGATCAATGGCAACAGGCCAATTCCTCTGAGAGATGAGACTAACCCACCCCAAACACAGCCGTCAGCAAAATACCAATTAGTGATACAGTTTATACACCAAACTCCTTCAGCAACAAATGTCACGAGTATGAAAAAGGCATTGATGCGTACAATTGTCAGGCAACAAACCATAACCTGAATTATTAGAATACCAAATAAGGATATCTTAGAACAAAACTTTACCTGATTACAGACCAGCTTAGCTGGTCAGGGACCCAGATGTCCTCATTTTTCTTGACTGAAAAATGAGAGGTGATTGACTAGATCCTCCTTCAATGACTGAGGTATTTGTGAAATGAAAGTTGATCTTGCATCAGCAATCATCTTCTCCCTGCACATCAATTGTGTTGTGGTGAAACAGAATTCCCAATTCATGCAATGAAAATAACTCATAACATGAGAATAGATTGACAGTTAATGCAGCAGAAAAGGAGAATTTGTAAAATTCAGCACCCTCAAGATGAGAAGATCTGTTGTCCACACACTCATCCAATAAGTAAAACAATAACTCTCCTAAACCTTTGAAAAAACGAACTCAAGAAGTGTAAGCACTTTTTCAATCAACTACAACTTCCTTCCATGCCAAACACGCAACTGTTTTTTTTTCAGTGCCAACTGCCAACAATATGGCTTTTTGCAGTCCACTATTACCCCTTTTGGAAGCTTGAAATCCATCACTTAAAGCGTCCTACAGTGGGCATCACTAGACATCTTCTCACAGCATTCATACAAAATATTTTTAGCTCATTGTATCCCACATATCCCAAAACTAGGAATCTAACTTTTCAATAAGAGTGGAACTACTTAAGCATTTGGTATTCCTGAATAAATCTGGTATTCCTGAATAAATCCTACCTATCTTATTATTCTAGTGCAACAGTACCCCACCCCAACTATGTGAGTCAAAAAGTAAAAGACCACATCTAGATTCTCACCAAATCTGTTTGATCTCATTTTAACATAACCATACGGATAATTGGTGGTATACCTACATAAACTCATGCGAACTCTTGGATTTACATAAGTTACAATAACAGGCTTTTCCTTTCATTTGTATCAGAAAATCTATGATGAACATGACAATGTTAAAGATGCTGTTGCAAATTTTGTCAAAACCACCAACACATTTTGTACATTTTTATATAATTGCAATCAACTCAATGCATAACCAGACTGGCTTCTTTTTGACAGTAGAAAATGGCATAACAAGACTGGCTACACAGAAGTGCTTGGATCTTCTCAATAGAAACCAGATCTACTTGCCTTAAAATACAATTAGCCACCCAAAGTACAAATGTCACATAATAATTTACAAAAGACTTACTTCAAATCACTGCCACTTTGAGAGATTCCAGCCTCGCCTGCACATAACCTCCTCCTCAAATGCATAAAACGGTAAACTTCATCAGTCCAGCCACAAGATCTCAAAACTGAAGAAGCTTCATTCTCCAAACTGTTATAACATTGAGAAATAAACAAAAATACCAAACTTGTCAAGTTGAAAGTCAACAACATCTAACAAGTTAAACAAAAGTGAGAATAACTGCATATATTTCACATATATATATATAATTATATATATTATAAAATAGAAACTGTTGTGGGTGTGGGACCCCCGATATTGGGAGCTGTCCCCCCACCTGAGAGTTCCTGTTTTACAACTAAGTTCCCAACTTGGATCACATTTGTAAAAAGTGCTAGAAGCCTACAACAGGATAATAGGATGTTATATTAACATGGTAGTGCATAAAAACTTGTTTAAGAATGATATAAACATCCCAAATTATGCCAGGGGCTTTCTGCTAACCTGGCCAGAGAAACTGATCTAAGGAATCACCATCACTCATCAAAGATTCATTTGACTCTAGAAAATCACTGCAACTATTGGCCTCTAATCAAAATCAATATGACAAAAGATCATCATGACCTAAATCTTTATTCCTTAATCCCCAAATCAGAAAAGCAAAGCTGCAATCCTAACTCACTGGCATCATGATTTAGAGTGATTCCAAAATATGAAAAATTCAGGACAACAAACCAAGTTAATGAGAAAAAAAGACCAATTGCAAACAACTATAGAGCAGTTCTTGTCTAGACTCTAGAGACCTATCAACTCAAGAGTCAAGATATTCAAATAAAAGAAATCTCCAAAAGAATTAATCTAGAATATGGCTTACACAGCTTTTAGATTTTCAACTTCTGTACGAGATTGAGCATCCTGTGCAAGCAAAATGCAGAAGTCTTCAGGTTTTCTCTTGGACCTTCGGATATCAGAGTAGCACTTGACACCACCATTCACCAATTCATGGCAACCAGAGCTCTCTCCTATGGCCTCCATGCACCTTCTACCATTACCTTCAAAACAGTCTAGTTTTGCAGCATGTGAATTCTGCCTGCTACCATTTTCACTTGCTAGTGCAATAGCTTTGCCATTAACACTACCAAGAGTATTGAACCTTCTACCATTGTCAGAAGAATCCCCATAAGCCATTGAAGGTGAATCTTTCTCATTGTTCTCAGGGTGGATTGAGTCCTTAAAACCACCATTAGTAACAGCATTCTGAGTCTTACATAAATCAACTTTTCCATTAACAGGAGAAACTCTTTCGGGACCTGATTTTTCAGAAATGTTAAACTTCACCCCTGGACTTGACGACATTTTTCCAAAATTTGATTTGGTTAACATCTCCTTTCGAGACAAGAACTCAACCGTAGGTCTTATATTTCCTGATTTTGACTGAACAGCAGCCTTCAAGGATTTTGGTGCCTCACTTCCATTAGAATCATGAGTTTTTACTCCATTAGAAGTAAACGTGGTATAGGCAGACCTTGGCCTTTGGTTTGAACGAGAGAAGAAAAGAATGTAAACTTTCTCTGACAAGACCTCCTGCAGAGTTGAAACTGAGACATATGAATCATTACAGCGATACCACCTGCCCATTGCATCCTGTAGACAAACAAAGAATTGATGTCACCAAATGCCTAACTGTTTTGAAAATATAGATACAGATTGAAGAAGTGGCATAGGTTGTGACAGACCTTGATATTTGCATAATAATGTCCAGATTCTGGCGAATATCCTGAATGCACAATAGTACCAAAAAGGTTATACTCTGGTCGTGGATCCTGCATTGATAACATCAACCAATATTAACAAAATGGTGAATTGTACATCATAGTGTAAGGAACAAGAAGAAACAAATCATGGCGACCCAAAGACTCATAGATAATAAATGGAATAGGCAGAACTACGAACAAAAATTTATTTCATCACGTGGATTCTTTGTCAACCACTCAACCCTTTTGCCCTCCTCACCCCTTTATAAGAGGCACAAAATACTCATCAAAGAACAATAAATTTAACAAAATGATAATAAAGGAAATGGTATAAACCAAAGAACTTTATCAAAATTGATAATCAAGAGTAAGTTGTAGTGTTAGGATTGGAGTACTCCTTGATCCCTCAAGTTAATAAATTTTTTATTCACTAAAAAGAGAGCCATCACATGGCTGCAGCATGTGATGCCTTGTAACAACATCAGCCAACCAAAAATGAGTTAGAGAATCACGATGGCAAAAATCAATTACTCAAAAACTGAAGGGCAGTCTAATGCTTCCCAATAAGTGTTGGTGAAGCCAGAAATACAAACAATAAGCTTTGTGAAATTGGACCTGAAATCCATAGATATTTTATTCAGGAAGTTGCACAAATAAGGTGAAGTACTGCCAGCCAAGGTATTGGCATTCAATGTTGGCAGCTTAACAGCAAATTCGACAAATTTCATAAATATTTCTACAAAGATCGCGTGATGATGGTCATGAACATCATCACAGTGTAGTATCTAGAAGGTAACTGTCCCTGTTCTATGTTTTCTCAAGTATGCAAGGATGTGGTGTCCCACTGGGATGAGGGATCTATGAGTATCATTCTCACAAATAAGACAAATGTGGTTTGGATGGTACAGGGAGCTATGCTAACTCCTACTTTGTAAAAAACAAAAAAAAATAGCAAGCCAAGAAACACTCAGACATCTGGCCTCTGGAGAATAATACCAACAAGAAGAGAAAATAAGAAGAGCTCAACCATTCTTTGCACATTATTTGATTTCCTTTAAACTTTTAGAGTTGTTATCTCTGTAGATAATTCTCTGTAGACCAGCTGTTGTAAGTATTAGTCTAACACTAAGAGTAACAGACAAGGACTTGAGCTGAGAATGTCAACAATTCTTCTGTTTTACGTTCTCTTCAGGTTAGACATAAAGCATTTTTTTAGGTGTGAAACCGCAACCCAGATAAGAAATGCTAGCCACTTACCATACAATACTCATCATGACTCACCTATGCCACTCTTCCTATGGGATATTATTAGTTCAGTTATATAACTCATACTAAATAATTATCATCCATCCATAATGTTAAAATGAGAATGAAGAACGTATTTCTCAGTGTAACAATAACTTAAACCAATGAACCAACATATTCATTATTAACACAACTTACCTGACTTGCGTTGGACATGAAGCTTGAAAGTACCATAACGTCTTCAAATGCAACATCCTTATCAATCTTCCCACCGTATATACCCTCGAATCTCTATAAAACACCAATCACTCCATTAATTGAGAGATAAAAACGACTAACTTAAAAAGCCACAACATTTATAACACATGACCTACCTTAAGTTGGATTACAAGGATATTAGGAGCTTGATGAATGGACATTTGCTTCCTAGCTGCCACCAATTTCTTACAACTAAACAAGCATAAGCTTCCCTTTCAAAACAAATGGACAAACATACACAATAACCCAAAAGTGTTCAATCACCGAATTACTTACTTCTCGCATTTGTACTTGTTGTTTCCGTCTAAAACCTCAGGCTGGAAAAACTTCTGCATAGCATCCTTAAGCGAACTACTGTGCACAATATCAAGACTGATATCCATAATCTCATCAACCTTATTAGACTCATGACCACAAGACAAGCATTTAATTTGGCTCTGCAAAGCACCTCCAAAGATATCCTTAACAACGGTGTTGCCATTGAAAGGCTCACTGCCTTTGCGCCGCAACTTCTTGAGACGCAAGCAGGTGTTGTGACACGCATCAATGACATACCTCAAGAACTCATGGGCGTCCTCCTGGTGACCGCACCGGAAGTGCTCGGCGAATATCCTGAGACAACTCTGGATCTTAGCAGGCGCGTCTTGGATGAGATCAACGCTAAGGGAGCGCGCTATCCGTTTCTCGAGTATACAAAATGGACAGTCGCGCTTCCTATCAGCCTCGGAAGCCGAATCACAAGAAGAAGAGTGTAGATACCGAAGGCAGAAATTGGCAAGAGGAGGTGTGTAAGTAAGGCACTGAAGAACGCTGTTAAGGTAGCAGGAGTTGCCGAGGTTTCTCAACCCTATCGGAGGCCCCTTCTTCCGCTTCTCACTCAGTAGACTCGGCTGCCACGTCATCTGCAATTCCAGTCCCATCAACGGCTCTCGCTTTTCGATCTCTCATCGGACCGCCACCTACACCGCCACAATCGCCTCCGTCTCTTCCGCCCTTTCAATTGTTAACGCCTCAGATTCCGGCGAACTCTGCTACAGATTAAAAAAAAAAATCCGGGATTCTTTTAGGAGCGACGAATTAGAGAGGCAGTAGCACCACCGCGAGGAGGAAGAGGAAGCATCAAGCCATCGACTCCCAAATCCCCTGCGCCTATGAAGAAAAAGACTCTCCAGGGTTCATTCACTTTTCAATTCCCCCTCCCAATTTTCCTCCCTTTCTTCGAATGTGGATTAGTATTTTTTTTGCCACGATTGTTGGGCTCGTGACAGACTTGTTTATTATAGGCCCAAAAAAACAAGGAATGGGTGCCCAGTACGGGATCGAGTTGGTATTTTACATTTATTTATGCAAAATATCAATTATTAAATGATTATGATATTTTATTTTTTTATTTTTTTATCTTGATGACATAATAAGATGTAATTATCTCATATCATTTATTATTATCTCATCTTACCCATATATCATATGATTCAAAATTAAAAACTCTTATTTTTAATAAAATAAGATAATTATTAAACTATTTAGGTACGGTCAAAATCTTTTTTTTTTTTTGAACAGTATATAATTTGGGAAGGGAAAAATTTTTTCAGGGCAGTTGATAAGATCTTTTATTATTTAATAATTAATATTTTATAATTTAATATTATTTTATAATTGAGTTTATATATAGTAAGTTTTAAATGTGCTAAATAAAAAGTAATGATTGACTAATAATTGTAATATTTTTTTAAAAATATAAAATTTTAAATTAAAAAATAATTTTTTTAATTTGAAATGAACAAATAAAAAATATAAAAATACTATAATTATAATATGATATGTTGTTGTATAGTTGGTTTTTCTTATTTAGAATCCATATATAGCAAGTTTTAAATGTACTAAATAAAAAGTAATGATTGACTAATAATTGTAATATTTTTTAAAAAATATAAAATTTTAAATTAAAAAATAATTAAGTAATGATTGACTAATAATTGTAATATTTTTTTAAAAATATAAAATTTTAAATTAAAAAATAATTTTTATTTTTCATTTGAAATGAACAAATAAAAAATCTAAAAATACTATAGTTACAATATGATATATCATTGTATAGTTAGTTTTTTACTTAGTAGTTTACTCATAATATTACACACATCCACTCATTTAATGTCATATCATATTTTATTAAAAACCATGTAAGATTATAAACTTACAATTATACGTGACATAACTATAATATTACTATAAAAAATTAATACCTAACGTCTAATTAAAATAAAAATTAATTTTATCACTTTTAAAACAAAAAATAGTTATTATTAATCAATAATTATTTCTTATCTTATGCTCTATACGTATAGCTTAGGATGGATAATCTTTTTGATTTAATAATGATATTTTACTTCTATATAAAAATAATCAGTTTATGTATGTAGTCTCGAAAATGGAAAATCACAAGGTTCAAGCGCGTTGAGGGAGGATTTGAGAAAATAAAGACTTTTGGAATTAGGTTTCCCCTAAAGCTAAAGCCCCATTTATCCAAGGCAAGTGATGAATTTCCATTATGGATTAGAAATTTAGAATCTCACAAACACAAACTATGTAAAATAAAAGCCAGAGAGAATTAGGAGAAATAAAAAAATCAAGATAATTTACAAAAGCAAAGTATCCAAGGCAAACCCCATTTAGTATGCAAAATAAAGAATTTTGGAATTAGGTTTCACTTAAAAAAAAAAAAAGAAAAAAAGGAAAAGAAAAGGCATAACTAACAAACACAAAGTACAATAAACAATTAAAACAAAAATAGAAGAAAAATCAACTGGTAAATGATTATCTAAAGCTTAGATATGGTGTCTAATTCCTATAGAAACTCTAAAATTCCATTGAAAAACTCGTAGCAAGTATAATGGTTTGTCCAAAACAAGGAAAACTAAAGGAGGAAAATGATGTATGAGTAATAGAAATGATAAAGGATCAAGATGACAATGAATTTGTCCACTAAAATATAAAAGCAGGCCTATAGCAATTGAATTCATAAATGAAAATCAAAATCATAGGGCATAAGGCCTTAATATCTTTTAGAAATGAGATTTCTTCTTCTTTCAATAAAAATTAATATAAAAGAAGTGCAATAATTGCATTCTTAGAGTTTAAATTTAGAAAAAGCTTCAGTAATAAAGAGAAGATGTAAAAGAGGTTTCCCTCTTCGCCAAAGCAAAGCAATATTACCCAAACAAAAGCAATCCCCCATGTAGTTTTAGGTCTTCAATCCTCAAAATGTCTTTTCAATCTTAAAGCACAGGGGAGGATTACTTTTCTGGTGTATAAATGGATTTCAATGCCATTTAATTAGCCAACCAAAACAATCCCCAAGAGATGAAATTCTTGTTTGACCAAAGAAGAGACTTCCTTCTTTTGGTTTGTCAGAATGTGGATGCAGAATATGGGAAGGAGAAATAAACACACGGGTCGATTAGAAATTAATAGAACGACATAGAAAACCCATTTGTTTGATGTAGTTTTAACCCTAAATTGGAATCACCAATCTTGCCCCTCATCAGTCTATTCCACAAGTAAAAAGCCTTTAAAATCTCATAAATTGCAAAAATACCATCGTGAGATAGTTAGTTGAGGGCTTGCTGAAAATAACAAAAATGCCACTTTATCACAAAGGCCCAGTTACCTCTTGTGAAAAGACCAAAAGACCAACGTGTAAAGGAGATAGGTGAAAGAAAGACTACTTCAAGAATGAATTTTCATTCAAGAAGCTTGTGTCATTATCCTTAAAGTTTGATATATCTTTTTTTATTTTTAAGATAAATATATTATTTAAATGCATTTATTAACAATCACCATAAACTTTATAAATAGTCTTATCTTAATTAAAGAATTTGAGATATCTTTTTTCATAAATTTAAGAGGGAAATTGACTTGTCCATTAATCACATGCATTTCATAATGCATCCAATGATTGTATTACTCGCAACTCCTCCAAGTAGCTATGTTTAATAAAACAAAGTACATAAATCCTCATATAGAATAATGATAATCTCAAATCAAAAGAGCACTTATACTTGTGTTGTAGTTGAGAAGGTATTAATGATACATGTATGTAGTATTCTCATAACAGGTAATTTCAATGCACTCACTCTCTTTGAGTTACTCATATGTATACATGACTTTGTGAGAAGAAGTATTATCATCCAACAACCATCACACAAGATATTTTTTATATCATTGACGTCCCATTTCGATATATATAT